TTTAATAGAATTTTCTTTAATGTTTGTTAAGAGAAGAAAGAAAAAGAAATATGCATTTATAATATCTTTTTAATTTCATAGTTACCTTTAGCATTGCTCTTTGCTTTTTTATGTGTGTAGATTCACATTACTGTCTGGGTCGTTTGCTTTTAGCTTGAAGAACTTCCTTTAGTATTTCTTGTAAGGTGCATCTGCTATCAATGAATTCTTTAATTTTTTTTTTAATCTGGTAATGTCTTCATTTTGCCTTCATTTTTGAAAGAGCTCTGCTGGGTATAGGATTCTTGGTTAACCAGTTGTTGTGTTTTTTGATCCTTTTGAATATGTTATCCCACTATCTTCTGGCTTCCATGATTCCTGCTGAGAAATCTGCTGTTAACTGACTGCAGATCCCTTGTATGTGATGAATCACTTCTCTTTTGCTGCTTGCAAGAGTCTGTCTTTGTTTTTGTCTTTTGAAAGTGTGAGTATAATGTGCGTTGGTATGGATCCTACTTGGAGTTTGTTGAGCTTCTTGGATGTGTAAATTCATGTCTTTCATCAAATTTGGGAAGTTTTTAGCCATTATTTCTTCAAATATTCTCTCTTCCTTTTGCTCTGTCTCTTCTCCTGGGATTCTCATTATGCCTACGTTGGTATGCTTGTTGATAGTTTCTTAGGCTCTGTTTATTTTTCTTCATTCTTTGCTCTCTGTGTTCTTTGCATTGCATAATATCTATCAGTCTATTTTTTAGTTTGCTAATTCTTTCTTCTACCAGTTAAAATTTACTTTTGAGCCCCTCTAGTGAATTTTTTTTAAAAGATTTTTTAATTTTTTCCTTTTTCTCCCCAAAGCCCCCCAGTACATAGTTGTATATTCTTCGTTGTGGGTCCTTCTAGTTGTAGCATGTGGGACGCTGCCTCAGCATGGTTTGATGAGCAGTGCCATGTCCGTGCCCAGGATTCGAACCAACGAAACGCTGGGCCACCTGCAGCAGAGCACACAGACTTAACCTCTCGGCCACGGGGCCAGCCCCCCCCAGTGAATTTTTAATTTTAATTATTGTACTTTTTTTCTACATGATTTCTATTTGGTTCTCTTTTTATATAATTTTTATGTATTTATTAATATTCTCTATTTCATGAGGCATTATCATAATACCTTCTTTTTCTCCTTCATGCATAGTTTTCTTTCGTTCTTTGGACGTATTTATAATGACTACTTTGAAGTCTGTTAAATCTCTGACATATGATCACTCTCACAGTCAGTTTCTGTTGCCTGCTTTTTTTTCCTGTGTATGGTGGATTAGAGTTTCCTGTTTCTTTGCATGTCTCATAATTTTTTGTGGAAACTAGACATTTTAAATAATATATTGTAGCAACTCTGGGTACTGACTTCCTCTCCAGGCTTGTTATTGTTATTTGCTTGTCTGTTTAATGACTAGCTGAGTCATTTTAGTGAACTCTATTTTGCTCCTTCAGTGGGAAGCTTCTGATGTTGCTCCTTGGAGAATGAAGTCTTGGCCACGCACCCTGTCATCCCAGGATGATAGTGGTTTTGGTGAGGCTCTCTTTGTCTCTTTCCCTAACCACAGTTGGCCGTTAAGTTCTACTTATTGCTGGTTATTACTCCATTATTGTCAACCATGCTCTGGGGCATAAATTGCTCTACAGACTGATCCAATTAAATTTGAGATTCTTTACAGGGATAGTTTTTGTGGTCAGTGTTTGAGATATTTTTCAGACTTCAGGAGACCTCTTCTTAGCTGTTTATTTCTCTGGTTCTCTGTGTTAAACTTGCCAGTGTATGATTTAACTCATATCTCTGGTGAATTTACCAGTCTTCTTTTAATTGCTTTTTACCACACCATCCATTGTTTTAAGAGCACCATTAGGCTTGAACTTCCCCACACTCTGTTGCAAATGGAGTAAGTTCCTATGGAGATTTGAAGCTCTCTGTTTTATGGCCTCCCTCTTCCCTGTGCGAAATATGTGAGCAATGTTCTGGATCAGGAGGTGGGGACAATGGCATGTTTCTCTCAGAATGAGACCCCTCTTCAGAAGCTAGGCTCAGTGAAGGGGAGTACAGCTGTCATCTCTGGTCTTCCTGACTTGCCTCTTCTAGCATGGGACCCCTGGTTTACAAATAAGCCAGGATGAAGGTGATCTAGACTCCACTATTCTCAGAATACCCGACCCAAGGTAGAGCCTCCATCCCATGAATGGCAGGTAAGCCAAAAAAGGGAGCCCCCACTCTCAACCAGGCTTGCCCAGAACTTGGTCTCTACAACAGGTAGTTGGGGTAGGATGAGAAATTCTGAAGTCCTGTCCATCCTGAGAAGATACTCTAACTCTCCAGCTGGGAGGAGAGGGAGCCCTGTGTTCTTGGCTACACACATCTGGAGTGAAGTTTTCATCATGCTCCCTGAGAGAGGGGAGGGAGGGAGTGGGTCATGGTTCAAACACTGCAGACTCTCACTGTTCTGAGTTTTAGTACCTTTCCTTCATTAAATGTTTCTTAATTTTCTGTATATCCTTAGAAGCATTTCCAGAGACTTTAAATGGTTTTTGTTTTATAGTTTCACTGAGGAGTAGGTCTGCTGAGCAATTCAGGATGCCATGCCAGAAGTTGATCATCTCTAGCTCTTCTCTTGCCCTCTGGATTTCCCAACTGGGAGTCAGATTGAGCTCTTCCAGGCCTAAGTGTAGTATCAGTCCTGTGGTATGTTGTCTGCAGAGATGACCAGAATGATTCCTCCCATCCCTGTGTACACTCAAGAGTAAGAGGCTATTTCCCTTCCTTTCGAATCTGGACTGGCCTTGTGACTTGCTTTGACTGATAGAAAGTGATAGAAGAGACACCATGACAGTTCTGGGCCTAGGCCTTAGGAGGGCTGAAAACTTCCACTTACCCCCTAGGAAGCCAGCAAAGAAGTTTAGGATAGATTACCAAATAAGGACAGAAGCCACATGGAGGAAACAGAGACAAGCCAACCAATAGCCAACACAGAGGCTACAGTCATTTGATCAGGTGCATGCAGCACTCATGACAAGAGAGGGTCCAGCCAGCTCAGCCAGCTCCCAGCAGTTTGTGCCGTCTTAGCTGAGGCCTCAGCCATGTGGGTGAGATAATCTTGGATCCCTCAGCCCCAGCTGAGATGGCTCAGCTAACACCATGTGGGTTAGAGATGAGTCATCCCTGCTGACAACTATCACATTCTTGACCCACAGAAGTGTGAGCAATAAAGTGGTTGATGTTTTATGCCACTGAGTCCTGTTTTGTTTGGCAGCAACAGATAATAGAAACTGGTCCTCAGTTTTCTATAGCAGAAGGCAATCCTCTAGAACACCCTCTTTTATCTTCAGGTAGAAGGGAGCAGACCTCACCCCCTCAAAGGGAGACTTACTCTCACAACGACCCTTTCCAAAGGAGCCCCTTCACCCAATCCAGCCTTTCCACAAAGTCCTCTCTTGATGCTTTTTTATAGTTGAGATTTGATCTTGGATTGTACATCTGTTGTGTTGTAGATTCCTAATCAGAACCTATGTTCAACATACTCCTACATTCATATTTATTTATTTCCATATTATCTATGGCCACTAGGATATAAGCTACTTGAGGGCAAGAACTTTGTTCACTCTGTATCCCTAGCCCTAGAATAGTGCATGGCACATAGTAGTCACTCCATAAATATTTGGAACGAATGCCTACGTTGTGCCAAGTACTGTGCTAGGTCAGTGTCATCTCTAGTGTTATCTCAGTTACTCATGGTGGACTCTCATGATGCACCATGCTGGATCCCCTTAGCTCGCTCAATTTCAGTGCAGTCATGGTGGTCCCTTCCATGCATCATTGCTAGAGAGGTGCCACAACATCTCTTTGCTTTGCCGCCTCAGACTTTCTCTAGAGCCACAGAAGTCTGTCTGTCCATAAGCAAGTACAACTTGGGAGTACTGGGGAGTTCACACTGCTCCATCACTTGTGCTTACCAGGGTCACCTTCGTAAGAAACCACCCGTTCTAAGTCTTTGTCTCAGGCTCTGCTGTCACGGGAACCCAAACTAAGACACTTAGATTCTCTTATTTAATGTCACAGTAACAAATGAAGTAAGAGGTTTTAGTCCCATTTTATAGGTAAGGAAAGTAAGACCTAATGAGATTTAAGTCTGTCTCAAGTTCACTAAACTAATAGTAAATGGCAAATTTAGGATTTAAATGCAGGCTGGTCTGAACTCCAAATCCTGTGCTCCTTCCATGAAACCATGCTGGGTGACCTTGCAAAAGCCACCTGATTGCTCCTGGGTTTAGTTTCCTCATTGGTAAAGTGATGAGGTGAAATGCAATGCAGATGCAAGTGCCACCAGGGCAGAACCAGAAGGTAAAGGCAGACAGCAGGGTCTGCAGGGGCTGTGGCTGGTTGGTAGGCCCGTGGTCTGTCTAAAACTAGCCAGTACCTCTCTGCCTCAGGCAGCTGCGCCTGTGCAGGAAGGCGGGCCCAGTTCTGCTGCTTCTCCCCGCTGCACGTGAGAAACCAGAAATCTAGACTCATGTGAAACCTCCCAAGTTAAATGGTGGCAACTATTTCAAATGTGTTTTAAACCCTATGCAGATGAGAAAGGAGCAAAAGGGAACTTTTAGGAGTGGTGGAAATGTTCTATGTATTGATTTGGATGTATACACTTGCCAAAACTCAAAGGGTACATTTAGCACAGGTGTGTTTTATTAATAAGTTCTATCTCAGTATGGTTAATTTTAAAAGAATAAAAGAAAAAGGCGCTATGTGCAGCAATCAAAATATGTTCTTTTGAGATTCTAGAATATTCTATGATTAATCATAAGTAAAAAGAAGCTGGGAACAAAAATGGAACTTATTCTAGTACATCAAATTTCAGTTAGTAAAAGCCATTTTAAAGTTTGGCAAAGAAAAAGAACCTCTTTGAGAATGCATGTTCCACACTAGGATTTTTCTTTCTTAACCTCAGAAGAATTATCCATGTGGGTGGGTTTCTCTTCTTCTTTAGGATACTGGAGAAAACAGTTGGATCACATCTCCGCTCACCTCAGGTCTTATGCTCAGAACAACCCTGAATTCCGGGCCTTGATTGCAGAACCCAGGATGGGAAAGGTGGGTGAACCCTGCCCGGAACTTCCACTCCAGAGCGTCCCGTGGGATCAGACTGAAGTTACCTTCTGTGGGCTTTGTCTGAAATTGCACTTTGCTGGGCTCCTTTCCCTTTCCCGCCTGCTTTCCACACTTCCTTGCTGTCCTCTCCTGCGAGCATTGCCTTCATGAGTCACTCACACATGAGTCATGTCTCAGGGTATGCTTCTGGGCTCCTGCTCTAAGACAGTAAGACTGTGAACATCTCATGCTTTTAGATGCCACATGCTGTGAAAATTCTGATGGTCAGAGCTAAAAGACCCAAAATAGTCTGGTCCAGCTAAATTGTACCCTTAAATCCCACACTATATTAACAGCAATAGTAGTCATAAGAGTTATAACAATGCACTCAATATCTGCATTGTCCTCATCCTCTCTATCCCTCATAACAAACCTACAAAGGAGGAGTATTCCCTTTGCGGCATTCTTTTAAAAATGACCACAAATTCTTTGACAATCTTCCCTTCAAAAGACAGTCTGTGTCCCCTTGCCTTGAACCTGGCGGGCTTGTGACTGTTAGACTAACAGAGTATAGTGGAAGTGATGGTATGGGACTCACAGGGTGTGGTCCCGTACGACCGTGCAGCTTCCTCTTGTTTGGCACACTCATCTCCAACACTCCTTCCTGGAGCCCAGCTGCCCTGCTCTGAGGAGCCCAAGCCACATGGTGTGGTGACAGGTAGGTGCCCCCATCTGCAGCCGCAGCTGAACCCAGTCCTCGAGTCATCCTGGCTCAGGAGCCAGACAGATGAGTGACAAGACTCTAGGTCATTCTAGCTCCCAAACATGGAGCCACCTCCAGCCATTTGAGTCTTCCCAGCTGAGGCCTCAGACACGTGGAATGAAGACCAGCTATCTTTGCTGTGCCCCGTCTAAATCCATGAACATAATGAAATGGTTGTTTAATGTCACTAAGTTTCAAGTGGATTTTTACACTGCAGTAGATAATCAGAATAAACCTTATTTGACACCCAGAAAACTGGCTCGGAGAGGTTTGGTGACCTGCCCAGGACTGCAGTGCTGGGTCTCCAGGGATGCGGGATCTGAAGCGGGTCTGTCAGGCCCTTCGCCCCAAGCCCCTTCTCTGGCACTACACTGCCCTTATGAAGAGACACCTCTGTGAGAAGACATTTTCCTCTGTTTGTCATGAGGCTAGAAGGAACCTTTAAAAATCAGCTTGTCCAGGGGCTGGCCCCGTGGCCGAGTGGTTAAGTTCGCGTGCTCCACTGCAGGCGGCCCAGTGTTTCGTTGGTTCGAATCCTGGGCGCGGACATGACACTGCTCGTCAAACCACACTGAGGCGGCGTCCCACATACCACAACTAAAAGGGCCCACAACGAAGAATATACAACTATGTACCGGGGGGGCTTTGGGGAGAAAAAGGAAAAAATAAAATCTTTAAAAAAAAAAAAAAACAGCTTGTCCACTCCCCTGCCACCAAACAGGCCAATATTGAAACTATGTCATTATCAAGTCTTGCTCAATTTCCTTTGATAATCTCTTTTGGTGGTTTATTAATTCTTTGGCCTCATCCAGGGTTCTGCAAACTATGGCGTGTGGGGCAAATGCAGCCTGCCACCCAGTTTTGTAAATCAAGTTTTATTGTATCACAGCCACACTCAATTATTTACTTATTGTCTGTAGGTGTTTTTGTGCTAGAATGTCAATAACCCTATAGCCCACAAAACCTAAAATATTTACTGTCTGATTACTAAAGCATTTGCTGAACCCTGGTTGATCTAAATTTCTCCCGCTACTTACAGAGAAAGCTGCTCAGCTGTCATACTTGGCCCTTGATTGCCAAGGCCTGGCCCCCCAGGACACCTTTTCCCAGGTGATGACATCCAGCCATGTGGCTTGATTAATCTTAAAGTGTGTCTTTTGTAGAGAGTATAAATTTGAGTCTTGCTGTCTTATTCAGTCTGGCAGTCTCTGCTCTTGGATGCGAGTATTAACTTAGTTCATTTATAATTAATGGAGTTTTAGATATGGCTAGATCTGTGTCGGCCATTTTGCTATTTGTGTTCCATTTCATCTAGTTTTTCCTCCTCTGTTTCTCTTTTTTCTGCCTTTTTTGTGTTAATTAAATATTTGATTAAATTTACAGTTTAACATCTCAGAATTTCTTGGCTGTTGCTCAGGGCGATGAGTCCCACACCCAAGGTTATAAATTCTAATATTTTTTTAAAAGCTAATCTCTGCTACTGTCCATGAAGATGGCTATGAAGTCAGCATCAGGCTGAATTATGTTCAAGTCTCAAACAAAGTGAGTAAAACCTTCAGAAGTTGTTCGTTTGAGAATTGACTGAACTAGTAAATTCTAGCTTATAATTTATTGAGATGCTTCTGTGTAATCCATGGAAAGGACCAGTTTCAACTATTATGAAACTTGACTGTAGGCCAGTAATTTCATAGAATTAGATCAATTATTGAGCTAAACCTCGGAGAAACCAGCTTTCAGGCACATAAAGATATAGTAAGACAGGAATTATCACCCACGCTATTGGTCCTTTAGTTCTCAGGCTTATTTATACTCACTGAAGTCTGAGTATAGGTGACAGACAAAAATGTTTGCTGATATGTACTTTGACCTATTTGCCTAGAAAAAATAAATCAGACTTTGTGGGCCATGTCTCCCTTGATCTGCCCTCTTAGATAGTGACTAGAACATTGCCACAGAGCCTGTGAGGACAAATGTTAATTGATTGATATTGACAGCTTTACTTTCATTGGACAAGAAGCATGTACAAAAGAATAATTAATGGATTGAGAAGATGGGTAAAGAAGGCAAGGAAAAGGAGGGGAACTAGCATTTATCAGGTCCTGGCCGTGTTCCCAGCAGAGTGCTAACAGTTTCTTTAAAATTGGTATAGGCACATGGGCCCTGCCTAACTCAAAGAGAGGCTGGGGGTATCCAGTGGGATAATGCACAGGAAAGTGCTTTGAGATCAAGTAAAGCACTAAAGGCCATGTTTTTGGCTGTGTGGCTAGAGCAGAGCTTGTGTCAGGAAGGTACTTCAGGAGAAGGGGAGTGAGGGATGCAGGACAAGGCAGGGGAAGAGGCTGGGTGAGCAGGCGGATGCAAATGAAGCCTAGCTGTAGCCTGATCCACGAGGAGCTCCGGAGTATGAATCACACCACAGAGCTGCCCTCAGCTGAGGCAGGAGGGGAGGGACATAACCTCTAGGGCACGGCAGCACTCATCTACTGAGGGCATTGGCTGCAGAAGAGGGTCGGCTGCGAGCTGTTAGCAGCCAACCCAGCAGCTGGCGTGGCTGTGCTGACCGATGAAGGAGAACTGGGGGGCGGGCACCAAGAGCGTCTACAACATGCTGTCTATCACGTACAAGTGGAGTAATTATCCCCAGGTTTAATATGCGTTTTTCCCCAGCCTGTGTGTTCTGGTGTTCAGGAAGTAGCAATGGTTCCCTATGGCAGGAGTAGGCAGCCGTGTGAGGCTGGGACAGGAGGCCACGCTGTGGAATCTGTGCAAGTGGATACAGGATTCCAGGTCTGGCCTATATGTCATCTATCTTCGTTTTATACGACATCCGTCTTACCTCATTTTACTTTCACAACATCCCTTTGAGGTAGATCGTAATAGTTCCACTTTACAGGAGGGAGGAAATTGAGGCTCAGAGAAGTTAAGCAACTTGCTTCTTCCAAGGTCCCTAAGCTAGTAAGTAATAGAACCAGGATTCAGACTGCCGCCTGAGCCTCCCCATCATGCCGTCTTAATTCTAACACACGGGAGGGTTTTAAGCAGAGGAAGGACACAGTTACTTATAAATGTGTAACGGTAACCAGAGCACCCACGTGGAAAATGGGCTGGAAGGAACCTGTTGGGAGGTTGTTGTAATGGTCTGGGTGTGAGAGGAGGGGCCGTGGCTGTAGTGATGGAGGGGAGGGGCCAGACTGAGGCAAATGGACCAAACTTCATGGTGAGTGAGGGCGGCGTCGGGAAGGATGTCCAAGCTGCAGGCTTGCGTGTCTGTGTAGAGAGAGCTGTCGTTGCAGAAAGAGGAGCCAGCTCCAGGGAGGTCGTTCTTTCTGCTGGGACGCAGCAGCCTCAGCATTCATGGTGTTTGACTTTTTCCTTGGCCAGAACCTTAACCTCAACAAGGCGGTGAATTTCAGTGACCACCTTCTGAGCAGTGTCACCGAGGCGGGTAACGGGCTGTTCGGCAGCAGGTCGAGCTCCGGTGAGTTGTACCCTTCCAGTGATTTTAAAACAATTGACCAGGAGTACACTGACTTGGCAAGGATGGCAGAGAATTGCCTAAAATTTGCCAGCCCAACCCAGATGTCTGATGTTTCCCTTCCAGGCATTTCCCTCCTCTGGCTTCCCCAGGCAGGGGTGAGACTTTGGAAATCTTTCACAGAACCTGGGGAGATAAACTTGGGGGGTTGCTCTTTGGGGCCTAAAGCCTGCAGCCCCTTCTATAGCCCTGCTTCCCACCCATCCTCTGGTTTCCGGACCGAGAGGAGTGGCTCAGGAGTCCTTCCTGCCAGCTTTAATCAAATAGAAATTGCTGTAAAAGCTGTTTGATCCTTCTGACTTCCTGAGGGACATGGTGGTGGAGTGGCTCTTCACATGTGGAGAGTGGCAGGGGGCTTCACTTTGGTCTTCTGCTCTTTGTCATTCCAGTGAGTGACTACAGCCACAGCACCTCAGACACCACTGAAAACGTTAAGAGGACAAAGAATTTCAAGACCAAGAAATTTGAAGAAAAGAAGGGGCACCTTACAGTATGTGTACCCCTTGGTCCTTAGCTGTCCTATTTAGCCTATCTACTTAACATTTTGAGATTTTTTTAAATGGAAGAATACTTTTTGGGCCAGCCCTGGTGGCCTAGTGGTTAAGTGTGGCATGATCTGCTTTGGCAGCCCGGGTTCAGTTCCCTGGTGTGGACCTGCACTGCTCGTCTGTCAGTGGCCATGCACTGGTGGCAGCTCACATACAAAAAGAGGAAGATTGGCAGTAGATATTAGCTCAGGACAAATCTTCCTCAGAGAAAAAAGAAAAAGAAGAAGAATACTTTTCGTTTTCTGTTCCTTTTTGATAACAGTGTGTTTTTATTTTATGGAGGCAAAATCCTTTAAAATTATGAATTAGAATTATTTTAAAGTCCTCATCAGTTCTGTTAATCACCTGTTTCCTCCAGGGTCAGTTCTGTCTGCTGGTCTTTCTCTTCTTGTTTTTGGTTTATCTCAAATCTGTGCTGATCCTTGGTTGTCAGGTCATGTTGACAAATAAAGGGCTAGTTTGATTAGCACAGGTGCCTGGCATGGGTGCCCAGCATGGGTACGTATGTGGGCCTGAAGTCGCTGTGTGGGTGGCTGGGCATGCTGGGATTGCCCTGAGGGTGTGTGGGCGGGACAGGGAGCAGCAGAAAGCCTTGGGCCCACTAAGTTGCCAGTGGATGAAGGCCTTCCCTCTGGGTGAGGGTGGTGCTGTGACATGCTCTAGTGGGTCTCATTCCTGGATGGAACTGTCTTTCCTTCTTTGTCCCACCAAAGCCTGTCCTGTGTCTGTTGTAGAGGTCTGGGCTCTGCCTTCTCCCTTCTTGGGCCCCAGTGCTCTCAGTAGAAGGTGTTTAGTTGTGCTGCTGGCTGTTGAAGACCTCGCACACATGCACACACACTCACATATACACACTCACAACACAAGCACACAAACACACACGCTCACGCTCACCTGTCCCCGGTGCTCAGAACTTAACCTTGGAGAGGAGGCATTTGCCTCGAGGGTTGAGCCTGGGCACGTGGGACTGACAGTATGAATATTTTGTGGCAGTGGAAATGACCACGTTCTGTAATCCTGCAGCCTGAAAACAGGCTCCTGCTGAAGGAAGTCGGACCCACAGGGGGAGGAAGAGTCTCTGTGATTGAACAGCTGCTTGACGAAGTAAGTGCAGCCAAAAGAGCCAGTCTCCCTGGGGATTTCAGCCTGGTGTTTCGCTTCTGTCTCTTTCATATGGAAGTTCTGTTCAATACTGTGATAGTCACAGTGCCATTTCATTAAAATCTGAGAATGGATTAAATGGCTAATCAAAAGCTTTACGTGAGTTGTTACCTGTTGCTAGTTTTTATAGCAATGAAAATAGGCAGAAAAGTGCATGTGAGCCCAAACAACATGCATGAGAGTGTACAGAATCCCTGGCCTGTGACCCCGTGTGACCTTCATGTTACCTAAAGAAGCGAGATTGTAGGGGTGCCTGCCCCTCCTTCTGTGGGGAACAGAAGTTTTATCGCTTGAGTGACTTGGCAGCTCTGTCCGTTATAGGTTGGGTCTTGGGATTCCTGCTTCTCTTTTGATTCAAAGCAGTTTGGTTCCATCAGGGAAGTTTGTTAGACCAAAAGGATGGCACTTGGATGCTGTTGAGTGCAGGGTGTTGTGACCAGGTGTCCTTGTCCATGTGCTGCAGGGAGCAGATCCCAACTGCAGTAATGATGAAGATCGACCTCTTCTCACCGTGGCTGTTATGAATAAGCACCATGAAGCAATTCCAGTTCTTGTGCAGAGAGGAGCAGACATCGACCAGCAGTGGGGACCGTAAGTGAAGCACCCTGAAAGAAGGGTTCTGGCGCCATGTCACAGGCAGCTAGTGCCTCCCGGGGCTCTGCTGCAGCAGAATCAGTCTACATGCACGCTCTGTTCAAGCTGAACCACTTAAGAATCATTTTAACCCATGTTGGCCTTAATAATAGACATAAATGCTTCTATTTTCCAAATCTGGGTAAAACAATTTTTAAAAATAGACTATTGGATTGCCTAATTTTTAGTAGCTTTTATAAATGACAATACATTTTATCAACTCACAAATTTATACTGTTGTGGGGCCATCAAATCCTTAGGCCTTGACGTGTTAAGCAGTGTTTGCATCATGATCTGAGTTGTCAAGACCGAGAAGGGAGGAGAGGCCTCAGTGTATTCCTTATAGAAATATACCCATGAAGTTAATGTACACAGAAAACCTTCTGTGGTTGTCTCTGGATTCCACTACCACTGAGGAGGGGACCTGTACCTCTGAGTTCGCCACATCATCTCCTGGTGCCTTGGTTTTGCCAGCTGTGAAACAGGATGGAGAGATACCATGGCATGTTGGGTGGTCTTGTTACTTTCCCATCTTGGTGCTGTGTAGCCTCATGATCTCTCCCAGCCTTGTGATTCTAGGATTCTCTTGCAAATTGCTTTGGAAAACTGGGGTGGAAAGTTCCTTGAGTATGGGTCCTTCATGTTAACGGCTTATATCCTGCTGACGACATTGTTGAACTAGAAGTCTTCTAGAGAAATTGCAGGTCTGACACTACTACCTCTTATTGTTAAGACAGGGCCGAGGTCTGGGTCAGTGACTCGTCCACTGCGTGTGTCAAGCCAGCACAAGGGCCAAAAGTTAAATTGCTTTGCTTCTGTTTTTCTCTGTTTCAAAATTTCCTCCAGTGTTTTTATTTAAAATATATCCCTGTTAATTTTTCTGTGTGTGTTTTTATCAGTTTCTGTCCAATAGGACAACTGTATCAGTAGACATGACCCCTTTTTTAGTTTTATTTTATAGCAGGCTGTTTGGCATGTTGGCGTACATATTTGATGGCTGGAATGTACTTTCCCAAATTTTCTTAGGGTTCATATTCATCATACATTGTCAACTTCATTTATCCCACACTTGTATTATCACTATCAATAAAATAATGCTACCTTGTTTTGTGTTAAAGTATACTTTATATTTTTATAATTCAGACAAGCTTTTCTTATAGCATTTAAAGATAATGCTTGTGGTTGATACAAAAATCTCTTGAGCACATTTTGAATTGATGCTGAAGTATGGTGAGTTTTGGCTTTATGAAAAGTCCAGCTAAGGATGAAACTACTCTGGACATGGAACAAATTACCAGTTTTTCTTTGGTGTTCCTCAGTTTCCATGTTTGCTTCATCACCATTCTACAAATTGACATTTATCCATATGTGATCGCATTGCATTTCTACTGCGTCTAACCCTGTGGTTATACCAACTATCCGCATGGTGCATAATACTCCTTTGTCACTCCTGCTGCGTTATCATGGTTACTATTAGCAGAATTTAGCTCACATGGTGGTGGGTGGGGAGCTAGACTGGAGTCCCTCCCCCACAAGAGATCACAGAGCTCTCTTCTTCCTTTTCAGTTTATGCCAATAGAAGAAAGCAGATTTTCCACTGAGAGCCAAGTTCTGCTAACTCTGGTTTATATTTGTTAGTTTGAAGTATTTAGGCCTGGGTCACCCTGGCCTCTGCCCCACAGCTGGACCTCTGTCGATCCAGGAACACGACCTCAAGTTTCCATCACCCTACTGCTCTTCAGGCATAAGCCATCCAAAGATCTGGCTTTCCTGTAAAAGAGGCTCCATGAATTGTCCTGTAGCAAACCAGGATTAAAACGCTCTTTCCCACCCTGAACTTGTTTGGCTAGTGGAGAGAAGCAGCCGGGATGGTCTCCACACAAGAGAACTTCCATTGAATAGCTTGGTGAGCGGGAAGCCCCTTCCTTGTTTCCTTGTTTCTGGTGACGTGTGTGTATCACTCCTCCCAGAATAAACTCATATTCTGTAACAGAAAAGAAACAGCTAAGGAGAAGTACATATCCTCCACCAAAGCTGGTACCACTTGCCAGCAGACTTCAGAAGCACTGTTGCAAAGTCTCATTGGGAGAGGAACATAGAGAAGTGTTTGCTTTGGGACAATAGCGGTCCTTCATGGCAGTTTCAAACACTCTGTTAGCTCTGCCCCAGCAGCCAGGTGAGGAAATGGCAACCATCAATCTACTTCTTAGACGTTCAGCTGTGGAGATTTGTTCTATTAGGTAATTCAAGATTTACAAAGAGAATGTACCTTAATCCACCATGGTACTTAGATTTGAATAAACAGTTTGAGTTTGTGCATTAATAGTAAAGTTTCTTTAAAATACACATTCATGGAACACTACAGTGTACCTGCTGTACAGAGCATGTTCTAGAAGACCTGATGAGGTAATACCAAGCTACTCACAGGAACAAACTCACAGGGTGTCACCTCTACTCCGAAGCATGGGGTTCTGATGAGAAAGTGTATTCCATCCAGTGCCCTTGCCATATCGAAGTTAGGTTGTTTGGGGAGCAATGTACAAAATTAGAGTTGGCAGAGTCACAATTTATTATTTTCCCAAACTGAACTGTGTATATCCTGTGGTTACACAGGAAATAGCCCGCGCAGAAATCCAGCCATCAGCACTAGCCACCTACCCACCCCCATTCAGGGAATAGAATGCATAGTCTGCTCTTAGTTTGGGAAGAGTTATGAAGGAAGAGGATCGTATGTCTACTTAGGAGATGCGACAACCCCATGAATATATCTAAGTTCAAATGGTAAATGCCTTATAAAGACCCAAGGAACTCGAGGGGTGAAGTGACACAGTAAGCCATATGCCACTAGGGAGGAAGGAAAGATGAAAGATAAGGAGATTGGTGTCATTGGTATGACTGAGGCATCCTTTGTCAGTGCTCCCATCGCATGCTGTGCACTCACAGCTACGTCCTCAGCTCCCTGAGAGAGGAACAAGCACTGTGTCACATGTGACATGATGGCCCTGGCAACAATGGGGGCACCAGACTGACACTCAAATATGTACTGAGTAGATGAACAAATAATCAGAGTGACTGAGAGCTGGGCAGAGGTAATCTGAAAGACCTCATGAGAAGTGTAAACTTTGAAGGTGAACACTGAGGATTGTGCTAAAGGACAGGGGGAAATAGACTCTTCTGTGGTGACAGAGGACAGTCTGGAGACAGGAGAGAGCAAAATGTGGAGAAAATGAACATTGTCTTCTTGCTAGGTCTTTCATCTATAAAATGGGGAGAATAATACTTGTGTCATAGAGTTGGTTGGAGGGTGAAATGAGATCATGTATTTGTAGAGCCTATGAAGAGCCTAATAGTTAGACATTAATAAATGGTAGCAGTCATGATGCTGTGATTATGAAAAAGATTGATCACCAGGCTTTGAATGCAAAGTATTGACCGCACGATGATTGCCATAGGATATGGGGAAGAGCATGAGTTGGGCCTGGGAGAATAGTCATGGCAGTGCCTTAAAATAACAGAAGCCTAAGGGCTGGCCCCATGGCCGAGTGGTTAAGTTCGCGCTCTCCACTGCAGGCAGCCCAGTGTTTCGTTGGTTCGAATCCTGGGCGCGGACATGGCACTGCTCATCAAACCATGCTGAGGCAGTGTCCCACATGCCACAACTAGAAGGACCCACAACGAAGAATATACAGCTATGTACCGGGGGCCTTTGGGGAGAAAAAGGAAAAAAAAAATATAATAAAATCTTTAAAAAGAACATAAACCTTGGGTGAAAGGGTTAGAACTGGTTAATAAAATGTAAATTAATTTAAGTTCTAAGTTCTATTGTTAATACATGTCACCAAGTCTTCCTAAGCCTGAGTTTTCATATTAAAGAAAGGGTATGATGTATTCTTTTAATACACCAAACTCTAGGAAGATGAACTTGATAAGTGCTTCTCATACTCTAATGTGCATATGAATCACTCAATGATCTTGATAAAATTCAGTAGATCTGAGGGAAGGAGGCTGAGATTCTGTATTTCTAACATGCTCTCAGGTGATGCCAATGGTCCAGGTGCCACAGTTTGAGTAGCAAGGATCTAGAGACTGTTCTTAATATGCAAGAGACAACTCAACATGGCCCTTGGTAAGGAGATGACCTCACAATGCTGTTGGACACAAGGGATGTTTCCCCTGTACCCGACAGGTCAGTTATATTGATCTGATAAAACTACTACTAAATAATATCATCACTGCCAACAACAACAGTATCAAGGCCGATCCACAAATTTAGTTATTTGAAGGAACTGTCTGTGTAGAACCAATGGGCAAATCTTTGGAAATTCTGTCGTAGGCACATAGCTTTGACATTTTCACCTATTTCCTCTGGAGAAATATGAGGACAAACTAGCTGATCACACCATTCAGATTTCCTTGACACCAGGAGCCTCGGCCAAATAAGTTATTTAAGTAGCTGAAATTATGTGAATGATAAGATCTAAAATTAGGTAAGATCTAACATCATGAGGGTGGTTTGATGCTTAGAGTGCTGTTGCGGTTAAAATCAGTGACAGTACTGAGTTTCTAATTTACTGTAGAAAATGGAAAGCCATCTCTTTAACTGGACAGTTCAGTTTCTGATGCCCAAAGCAGGCAGAGGATTTCCCTTGCACAGTTGGATAGTGGAATTTATACTCATTTTTACCTGAAATTCTTGCAACTCACGGGTTTCAATCTCGAAGACAATACCTCTTCCCTTAATTTGTTTGTCTGTTCATTCTTTTCATTGATGTTTCGTTTTACTGGTGGTTATTGAGCACCTGCAATGTGCCAGTCACTATTCTGGGTGATGGACATACAGCAGTGACGAAGACAAAGTTCCTTCTGTCATGAAGCTTACAGTTTAGTGGAAGACCCAGACAATAAACAAGTAAGCAAACGGATAAGTAATTTTAGAGAATAAGTGCTACGAAGAAAATAAAGCCAGACAGGAGAGGAGAGAGTGTGGTCAGGAGAGGCTCCACCCCTACCCCCCAGGACCAGAGACACAGAATTCATCTGGAACGGACTTGCTTTAGGCGCAGAACCGTACTGGGGAGTTTGTTCACCAACTTCATTCATTTTTGGTCCATGCAAAGTGAGATTGCCTTATTTGTGATTTTTAAATTGTGTATGTTTATGAAAACATTTCTTACACGCCAAATAACATTGTAATTTTATCAAAGTAAGATGTGCACATGACTCAGAAATCAAGTCCTCTGGAAGGACTTAGCAGACCTCCTCCACCCTTCCTTCCTCCCAAGTCTTTGTCCTCAGGAACAACTATATTTAAATATCTTAAAGTTCTCCTGGGAGTAAACTACATCTCTGTCACTTAATAATACACTTAAACTGATAATTCCCGATTTAGCATGCTTAGACATTTTCTGTTGATTCTTGCCGTGACAGGTGATGATTCGGCTCGATGACTCCACCTGATCATTTCTACCCCCACCTTCAAGTTTTGATCATTCTATTACTACTTTTCGTTCCTTTATTGATTACTGTTATAACTATAAATACAATGCCTAAACTGCTATATTTTGACCGTCATCTTTCAATGGTGTCTTTAACTACGTTGTATGTAAGTGTATATAAGTGTATATCAGGTCTCCCTCCCTCTCCTTCCATCTCACAACTTGATTAGCCTATGCTTACTCTTTACAAAGCTGATCACAATTATATTTACTTGGGTTAACATAAGACTTCCATTCTTTGTCCAAAAATTGATTCCAATAGTTGAAAACCACAAAGAGCAATTGCATTATAATGTTACATAAATATTGTTCATTGCAGAACCAAGTAGTATGTGTGATTACAGTTTCCTGTTTGTGGGTTCGAGATAATGACCCCCAGCCCACTCAAAGTAGAATTTTCTTAGCAGAAATGTCAAATGAATTCTCCTTACACATCATGAATTATTCAAAATCATGTCGCATTTCATTTTCTTTTATAAACCATGAATAACTTGTGTAATCTTTGATTTTCCTGGAATTCCTGATTGCCTTTGTTTTTTCTGGTTTGAAAAAGAGCATGTCTTCACCACATCCATAATCCTATCTGATTTCTTACTTTTTCAATGCCATTCTCCTTAGAGACATTCTTCTTGGAGTACAGGTTTCCCCCACTATCCAAAACTAGAGCATGCCTATGAAATCTTTCATAAGCTAAAATAGCATAAAATGAAGAAGCAACTACCATTAATTTATATGGGTAAATTTTTGAGTGTTCTCAGACCTAAAAAATAACCTACCAAAATAAATCAAGGTAAAACACAGACGCTGATAGACCCAGTTCAAAACTTTGGCGTTTTGATGCTGAGATGCTGAGTCTAGTTCCTGGGAAAGGAGCTCGGTGGCTCCATGCTCGCTGCTCCAGGTGCCTGCTGCCTCTGTAATAGTTGGCAAGTGCTACTTTTTTTCGCACAAGAGAAAATCCTCCTCGAATTTTTTGCAGTTAGTGAAAACAGGTACCAACCACTGCAAGTCTTTTGTAAAAGTGAAGTGGCATGACGCGAACTTTCGGATAGTGGGGCAAGCCTGGATACTTCCTACTCGGGTTTGCTAACACTCTCCAGCCCTGCCGCACACGGGTCAGTGTGGGATTCCTTTTCACTTGAATCCACCTGTAGTTGTTGCTCACATTTTCCTCTTTACTGGCTTGGACCCTTGTCAGGCTGCAGTGTGGCCTCAGGCAACTTCTTCAGAAAGGCTGTGTAGAAGAACCTTCCTGAGTCCTTGAATGTCCCAAAATGACTTTCTTTTGTCTTCACTCTTGATTAATACTTTGGCTGATATTAATTTCTGTATTCAAATAATTTTCTGTCAAGTCTTAGACAGCCTTGTTCTCTTGATTTCTAGCGTCCAGCATAGCCCATGAAAATTCTACAGCAAATTCCTGTTCATTTGTGACCTATCGTTTGTTCTTTCTGGAAGCGTTTGTCCTCGAGGTTCTGAAATTTCACAAGGGTGTTTTTGATGTGCTATTCTTCATTCACCCAGTTGGCCCTTTCAGTCCGAAAAGTCACATCTTTCTTCAGCTCAGGGGACATTTCTTCTATTATCTCTTTGGTATTTTCTCCCCTCCATTTTTTCTGTTCTTTCCTAGGATATCTATTAGTTGGATGGTGGACCTCTTGAAGTGATCCCCTGTATCTTCCTTTTTTCCGTGTTTTTCATCTCCATTTTTCTTTCTAAGAGATTTTTATTAACCCTTCTATTGAATACTTTTTATTTCAACAATCATATTTTTACTTTCTAAGAACTACTTTTTGTTCGGATTTTTTCTTCCTCTTAGCCTCATGTTTTTGTCCAGTGTTGTCTTCAGTCATTCTGAGGATACCACACAGGTGTTCGTCTGCTTTCACTCTCTTATGTTTTTGTGTCTTGGTTTTTCTCTTTGAGGCTGCAGGTTTTTCTCAGATGTCTGTGACCCTTTGTTGTCCTTCCACGTTTGGGATGGGGAACGGGCTGGCTGAGCGGGAATTCCGTGTGTGTGAGTGGAGCTCGTCCACTGGGGAGTTTTGTGGGTAGCTGAAGCTGCTCTCAGGCTGGGACAAGTGGAAGGCTTCCCTCTGGCCGTGGCACTTGCTGGCCTGGTTCTCACCAGAGGCTCCATGTATCTTCTTCAGAGAAGCCACCTTCCTTTTTCTCCCTTGGGATAAATTTCTGGCTGCAGGCACAGCTGCAGGTGTGGGGGTGGGGTGGTGAAGTCAAGGGCAAGGGCAGGGCCTGGGAGAATGCAGAGCTTCAATTTCTCATCCCATTTCTCTCCAATCATGACTTCCACATTCCGTCACTCCTGCCGCCTCCGATCAGGAGCCTTTCCTGAGTTCTCAATGCAGGTACCACCGCATCCTCCATTTCAGCCATCCACTGCTCCCTCACTGGGCCAAACCTGACCAGGCAAGGTGGAGAGACAGTCTGGCATACAGCAAAATATGCTCTGTCTGACCTCCCAGGCTTGCCCTCTGGGTTCTAATTGGTGTTTCCTTTCATATCATACAAGCCAAATTCTCTGAAGCCAAGGTCGTTTTCCCTGCTCAAGAATAGGAGCCTCAGCCCTGAAAGGTTATTATCATATAGACAAGGCCCAAGAGGTTCAAGCAAGGGTGAGACTATGTCCAGTATGTTCCATATGTTACAATATGTTCTGGCAGGAAGTTTATTAAAATGGTATTTATTAGCATCTATTAAATCAGTTACAAAACAGATCCTTATGTGGTTTCTCACTTTAAAAAAATGAGTGTGTTTATAGACTTTTCAGTTTCTGTCTAATATCAAAGCTTACCCACCAACACAGTATTCTCCAAGGGAAGAGGCAGAGAGAGGAGACTCAAGAGATTGTCCCAGGTTAGTTATATAGGTCAGTGGGTGAAACCAAGGCCCCTTAGGTCATGTGCCTCCTCTCCAATTTCTTGATGATGCTAAAGATTTAGGATGATTTGTTCCCCCCAAACAGGCTCCAAAATACAGCTCTTCATGAAGCAACTCTGCTTGGCCTGGCAGGAAGGGAGTCCATCGCTGCTTTACTGCGGTACGTTCCCTGGCCTCTGGGGGAGACTTCTGAGGGCCACAGTGATCCCTCTGCTGACGTGTGATGATTTCGGAGGGCCCTGAACAGTCAACCTTGTGAATGGGGGCCACCAGCATACGGTGGCTCCTGGGCACCAACGGCTTCTAAAAGCACAATGAAAATGTTGTCCCCCTTAAACACACTTGGTTGTAGGATTTTGATGCAATGGGGACCAATAGCCAGGATTGACATTGAACATTCGAAATCATAGAGCCTCTCAGAAGATCTCATGGTAGAGCCACTCTTGAGAGCTGGGGTCATGGTGGCCTCTTGGGGACAGGTTTGGGAAGGTGGGGCCAGGAGGGAAGAGCTAGGCCCTCAGATTCAAGTACCCGACTCCTTTTCTCCCCCATTTCCTTCATAGATGCAACGCAAGCATCCGAAAGAAGAACACAAGAGGCCAGACAGCGTACGACCTGGCTCTGGAAATCGGGGACGACCGCGTCACCTCGCTCTTTGCTGCTAAGCTCAGCCTGGATGACTCTTAGACCCAAGGGTCTCTGTGGGGCTTCACTGAAGGAAACGACCCAGCTCAGCCTGTTCTCCGTTCATTTCTTTCTGAAATGTGTGCTTGAGGTTTGGGAATTGAAGTTGAGAGGAACTCACAGATTTTTTTTTAAATTATACGACAGTGTAAGCCACCAAGACCACGTGGACGTTTCCCAATATGCCCTGGATGGTAGTGAAGTTAATGTATGGTTTCTAATGGTTTATTGCTGCTTATTTTAGAATTTTCTTTTAAGTTTATTTTCAATAAATAATAATTGCACATGGTTCAAAGTTAAAAAGGTATTATGTAGTAAAAAAAGCTTCCTCCCATCCCTGTCCCACAGCCACCCGCTTCCCCTCCTCAGAGGCACATGATGCCAGCGTCATCCGTGTTTTTCCAGCAGTAGTATAGGATTATGTAAGCACATGTATATAATACATGCATATGTACATAGAGAGTATACATGAACCATAAATAGAGATAACACGTATATAGCCTTTCCCCTCTTTTAAGACGAATAGTAGCAAAACACACACTGTCCGCATCTTGTTCTTTTGCTCAGTGTATCATCTAGGTGGTTCCAAATTAGTACATGAAGATTGAATGTATTTAAAATGTTTTTTTCTTATGTCGATCTCATCAATGTTCCTATTGTTATGGTTTGTTCTTTGATTGACAAGCTTTGAATAAACCATTTGCAGGAATGTGTAATTTTGTCTTATTTCCTTTTTCAGATGGTTATATCAATTTTTGGGTGGTAACTCTGCTGTGTTGAGGTTCCTAAATTGTTTCTGTTAGCGCATGTAAAGAGAATATTCATTAATTTAGAGTAATTAATTCAGCACAATAGATAGTAGACTTTGCTGGGGTGGTTGCTGTCATCACTGCCTGCGCTGTATTTCCCTGTGTGGGTGACTTTCCGTAGGGAGGACAGGCACAGAGTCGTTGGAGTCCAAGCCCCTGAGTGGGGTCAGGTGGTGCGAGTGCTGGCTTCCCCCGTCAGACCCTCGGTAGTCTGTGGTGGGAGGCCGCTACAAGGGGAGCCAGAGAGCCCCGCAGAGTGAGACCGTCTGGTTTGGTGGCTGAGGTGGTTCACACTGTGTCTACTTAGCGGGGATGACCTGTCCCAGAATTCTCTTCCTTTATGGTTCAGTTCATGGTTGGCTGCAAGAGAAACTGCAGATTCCAGATTCAGAAGGTGGAAGTGAAGCAATGGCCACCACGCCCGGAGGGTGGATTAGGGCACCAGACGCTCTGGAAGTGACAGTCAGGGACGAGGGTATGGAGTTCAAGATCATTTTCCCCAGACCTCAGGGAGCAGGGAGGGCCCCATGGACCTATGAGTTCTAGAACAATCCCCTTGGGGCTCTCGGGGGTAACCTTCATACACTGAGTGCAGGAACCACGTCTTCAGTGCTCCTGGTGTTTGCACGCTTAGTGGAAGGTCCTGCCCTGTTTACCCAGAGGCCCTCCTCGTGCCTGCTCGTCAGACACAGGAATCTGCAAAGCATGCCATCGACATCTCCCGTTAGGGTTTTCCCTTTCATCAAAGCCGACTACCAGCACAAGTCACCCCTGAATTTCACTCTTTCGGAATCAAACCTGATGTAAAAAGTGAAAAGGTAGCTTCATATTTAAGCTACGAGAATGCAGGGTTACATAAAACATCATATAAATGAACTACATGTTTTCAGGAAAATTAAAAAACATGTTTTAAGGCAAGGGCCTTTCCGATTTCAAAAATCATGTTATTTCTTGTCCTTAATGAAGCTTTATTTTTCTTTCCCTAATGATGCTGTGTCAGGGCTTGATCAGGCAGCAGAACCACCGTACGTGATACTGAGTAAGGAATCGGACGGCATGCAGTTGCGGGAGTGAGTGAGTCTGATCGTGGACCTCAAGTCGCTGTAGCTCACAGGGCCACAGTCAGGAAGAAAAGGTGGGTGTGAAGTGGGGATGAGTGAGGACAAACTGAAACCCACAAGGACACAGCTCCCTCCTCCATCCTCATGGTCACAGGCGTCTTGCAGGAGACGCCGGTGCCCTTCACCATAAAGCTTGTCCTAGACTGGGCTCTCCAGAAGCAGGTAGTCAGACTGTTCGGATGGAAGAGGATGTACATTTATTGGGGATCAACCTCTGTGAAAGGAAGAAGTGGGATTGTGCAGAGGGAGAAGTTGGCAGTGATGCAGGCCTGACAAAGCCTCAGCCACTGGTGGGGCCGGGTGCTGGAGGGGGGGCTGCCCATCAGTGTCCCCTGGGCCTTGATAGCTGTAGCGAGCTGAGGAAGGGTGAAACTTCAGGTGAGGTAGCTCCCTGAGGCTGACCTTGAAGTTGCTGATGGCTGGAGGCTGTCTGCTGCCTGCTCTCCCTCCAGCCTCCGGTCATTACAGCTCCTCCAGCCATACAGCCCTGCCTTGAAGGGGCATCTGGGTGGTGCAACTCTGTGTGTACCATGGAGCTGCATAGATTCCTTACCCCAGCCACTGGGAAGCTGAAGGAGGAGGTCTGGTGGGAGCTGTCCACACCCATCAGACAGCCGGCACCTGTGTGCCAAGGAGGACAGCTGGACACTGACCTTTGAGCCCTCCTCCTGCAGGCTCAGCTCAGCTCCTGTGGTCAGGGCGCAAGGTGCCAGGTGCTACAACCTGGGCCCCAGGGAGGTGACAATCAGCTGGCCAGTGGTTGGTGGCTCTGACCACTGTGTCCTCCCTGGATCTGGACCCACTACCATTTCCTCCTGGGGGCCTGCTGCTCCTCCTGAAGGGGCTGTGCTCGCTTCATGCCTTCATCCCTTGTCCCCACAGGCTCCAGTGGCCTGGTGTTTGCCATTCCCTTCTTACTATGGAGGTGAGTGAGTGCCCACGTGTTTATTGGCCAGTTGAGTTCTTTATATTTTTCTTATTCATTTGGAGAAGTTCTTTACATCCTCCGGAAGTAGAGTATCTTCTAGAGTCTAGAGCAGCGCTGTCTTATAGAAATATAGCGTGATCCACATATAGAATTGTAAATTTTCTAATAGCCGAACTTGGTTTCCACTTATTCCTAACTTACTATCAGGAATCAAGACTGTATGTTAATAATTTTTCAGCATCCATGAAAATAAATTTATTTTTTCCAATTAGTGAATTACATTGAGATTATATGTTTTTGAATCAAGTCTCCACTGCTTAGATAAATTCAACATATTCTTACTGAATTCTACTCCTAGATTTCATTTGCTAACAATCTGTTTAGAGTTATGATGTCTGTTAAATAAATGAAATTGCCCTATATTTATGTTTTTGTTATTTGTTTAGGAGCTAGGGTAACGCTGAACTCACAATGTTATAACTTTCTATTTTTTCCAATATTCTAAAGTGGTTTATGAGACACGGAAGTTAAATATTTTGTGCAGGCTTGGTGGAAAGCTTTCAGTCTAACTCAGGGCCTTGAGATTTTTAGGCATAAACCTTTGGCCTCCATATCAGTCAGGGCTCAACCAGAGAAACAGAACTAGTAGGAGACATATGTCAAGAGATTATTGAGGAGATTGGCATATGCGACTGTGGGGGTTGGCTGGGCAAGTCCAAAATCCTCAGGGCGGGTGACAGGAAGGCAGTCCGGCACTTCTCAGGCGCAGGCTGGAGCGGCTGCCCAGTGGCGGAATTCCGTCTGCAGGGGAGTCTCGGTTCTGCATGGAGGCCCTTCAGCTGGTTGAATCAGGCCGACCCGGACCTGCGAGGATAATCTCCCTTAGTCAGCTGATTAGCAATTTTAATCACACCTACAAACCACCTTCCCAGCAACAGCTGGCTTAGTGTTTGACTGAATAACTAGGGACTGGAGCCTAGATGGCTGACGTGCGTAAAAGACCATCACAGCCTCTATTACAGTGTCATTAGTAATTTATTCTTTTTTCTACCCTCACTTGAATGAAATTGGTAATACACCCCCATACATACTTTTTCCTTATTTGTATAAGGCTATGAAATTTTTTTTGTGTGTAACTTTTGCCTGTTGCATGAGTTTTTGGTTTCTAAGATTCTTGTGATCTTCCTTTTTCTTGTTTATGTTCAGATTTGGTTGTTAATCTCACACAATTCTTCTGGTACGTTTGAAAGTGCAGCTGGCCTGTGGTGAACAAGGGCCTCCCCGTCAGCACGCGCCACAGTGACGAGTGTGGAAGAGCTCTTCACTGTTCTCTCAGGCAAGGCTGAGTCCTTCTCCCCGCCCCGCCCCGCTGCCCCAACACGGCCTCCGAGGGGCGCCAGAGCGACCTAAAATTTATGTCTGCATCACGATCAGACCACCAACCCCTCACTAGGACCCCTCCCAGGGGAGGAAGTTCCTTTAAATGAGGTGGATTGGAAGTGAGGAGGGGTCAGTTGATTCATTCATTACGTTGATTTTTAAAAAACATTTAGCAGATATGAATTCGGTACTTATTATTTACCATAATTTCTATTTGAATGTCAGTTCTCACCCCCGTAATCTGGGGTCCCCACTTTTCCAGTTTGATGGTGACAAATGGCCCAGTTTTTAGATCGATTCCTTCCAATGCAGCGAGAGCCCCAGAAATTTTACTTTTGTCGCAAACACTCAACACCAGACATTTTATTCATTTCTACCCAACCCCCTGCCCTGTTTTATCCTGCATCTCCTCGGCAGAGACTTCCTTTCCCCCATCAAATGGAGAAGAGACAATCCTGGGGAGTATTTCCCAAACCTGTGTGCTGTGGCCGCAGAGCGACCACATTCTCCAATACGTCTTTCTGCAAAATGTCTGCTACCGGGCTCCACCCACGCGCTCACCTGCAGGTATTGTGGGTTCTTTTCCTATTTCTTTTTTTCTCATTCCATCTTCAAATCCCCTTTCCTACTTTCTCCAAGCATAAAGAGGAAACTGATGA